TGAGGGGAATGCGTGGATTGTGTTTGAATTGTGTTGGGCAATGTCCCCCTTGCTTGTTTGAGCCCTTGTGTGCAAGAATTTTGCCAATTTCATGCTTAACTTAATAGTGCACACAAGGTGTTCGATGAAATGCCTGTTTTTCATGCCATGTTGTGGGCACCGGTTGGGACCCTTAATGATGTGCTTTGAAGGTGTGTTTGCTATGGATGTGAACCTTGAGTTGCCTACTTTTTCATGGATGTGCACCCCCACTCAGATTATGCTTGATTTATCGAGTTTTTGACCCCCGAACTATGGATGACACCATGGTTAGGTTGTTTTCTGTTCTTAAGTGTGGGGGTGTGATTAATATTTTTCTTGGCTCTCTTGGTTCCACTTTGGGTTGTTCTTTTGCAGGACGATGAAGAAGCCCAACCTCAGGCACCCGTTTATTCAAGATTTGAGAAGGGGGCCCCACCAGGATCGTTTTAAGAGCGTCCTGGCCTGCAAATTTGGGCAGCATCATTGCTGGTCCAAGCGAGAGTTGGAGAAGCTGAACTGCTACGGGCACTTCTCCGCCATAGTCACCAACCGCCCCTGGCGCCGCCTACTCTGCATTCGCGAGAAAGTTTACCACGAGCTCGTGCTTGAGTTCTACACGACCTCCAAGCACGCAGACACGGAGGATTGGAAGGAGGGAGAAGCCGTCCAGTTCAGGCTCGGCGGTGCACCCCGATCCATGAGCTACCAGGAGCTGGCGACCGCCCTCGGCGTCGGCCTGGTCGATGACACGGTCTACATCACCGAGCTTCTCGTGCCAGAGGGGGTGAACTTCCAGACGCTGTACACCCACCTCGCTCGGCCAGGCCAACGTCCCTTCTCGGCGGGGAAGACGAAGGCCAGCACATTGCAGCTCGACAACCGCATCCTCCACCACCTGCTGGCAAAGCCTTACAATCCGGCCTCGGACAGTGCCAGCGCCATCACCCGGAGAGCCATGTACCTCATTCAGTCTATGCGCCAGAGGGATCATCCTCTCCACTTGGGTTCGGTGGTGGCGAGGACCTTCGACAAGAGTGCTTACGAGCTGAAGAAACTCAACTGCACCCCTCTCATCACCCTCCTGGCCGCCTACTTCCAGATATCCTGCAGGGGTGCACAAAGCAGGGAGACACCAGTACCTTTGGCGAGTTGACCATCAATAAAATGCACCTGCTTCGGGAAGAGCGAGGTGTTAAGTGGATCGAGGGGTTTCCTCAACCTCAGATCCCAGAGGAGGTCCAGCCGGAGGTTCCCGAGGGTGCGGCTGATGAGGAGGTGGAGCCCGAGGAGGTGGATGATGTTGCTGCCCCCCGCCCCACCACCTTCGAGTACGGGGGTGGCAGCTCCGCTTTCCCCGGGCAGGACTACTTCACCCACCAGTTCGAGCAGCTGCGTATCCAGAACCAGCAGATCCTTAACCAGCAGCTCCAGTTCCAGCAGCAGTATGCGGCTCACCAGGCCGAGTACCAGCAGAGGATGGCTGCTTATGATGAGCGCCTGGACATGATGGCGACCCAGCAGGGGGTGATTCTGGCTGATATCGAGCGAGAGAAGGCTCGATCTAGGCGCATGCAGGAGGTCCAGCAGCACCTGCTCCAGCTGCTGCCGGGCGAGCAGCCAGTCTGGCGGACTCCCTGGGAGGACTCTCCACTGCCACCTCCCCCAGCTGATGGTGATGATGGTGATGACGCCTTCATGGACGACATCGATCTGGATAACCTTGGCGACGAGTAGGTTATGCTCGTTGCCCATCTCAGTGTGTTTTTCATTTTAGACTTTTGTGTGTTTGCTCCATGTGTGAGGAGCTTGAACTTAGTGTCGTTTGTTTTTGTTTTGTTTTTGTTTTGTGGATTGTTTATTTTGTAGTCGTCTGGGCTACTTATCCCTAACGCACAGTGTGCTAGTGTGTTCTTGATGTTCGATTCATGCAGAACTGTCCATCTTCCTGTTTGTTTCTCGCTGACTGGTCCACTTCCAATCCCCCAGCAGTATTTCAATCCGGTAACATCGTTCCCCTTATCTCTCCCTCTACTCCATTGAGGGCAATGTCCTGCTTAAGTGTGGGGGGGGGTGCTTTGTATCGGTTGGAATCTATATATGAGTGCTTGGAGCCTAGTCCGCTGTCCGAATCTTACGATTTGAGGGCTCCAAGTACTGCTGTTTGATCATATTGGCACTGTGTTGTGATTGGTGAATTGAATGGTTTTCGAATTGATGCATGACAGCTTGATTGTGACTAGGACAACCTATGATGAGGACTGAGACGTGCAGTAGAATTGTGTAGGGGTTCAGTTTTTCAACTGTTTGCTTACCAACTGTGACTTGGATTGATCACTTGTTCTTGACAGTCGTTTATGCATCTAGTTCAGGGAATCAGAATGTGAGATAGAGCATATAGGCAGCCATGTGAGATTTGAGCCTGCTCGTTTCTTTCTTGTGCGATAGATCCCTCTTCCATGATGTGTAGCATTCACGTAATCACGTGTCACTAGCTAAGATGATGTGGGCATAGGAGTAGCCCACGACCAAATTGACTGTCCTGATGTGTCATATCCCCTAGTCAGCCCCTTTGAGCCGTGTGTTATCCTTTCGTTTGGTCTGCAATGAAAAATAACCCTTTTTCATCTTTTAGAAGGTTCCACAGAGTGGTTTTTACATGTTCTCTGCTGTTTCTGCTAAATTTAATGTGAGGGTTGGAGGTAGTGCTTAAAAGTTGGGCATGTGTTTGATAAATGTGCAGAAGTGGTGGTTCTCTAAAGTAATGAAAAGAAAATGAAAGAAAAACAAGAAAAAAATGAAAGCAAAAGAGAGCCACCACCAAAAATCTGAATAATGCCCATTAAGTAGTGTTTCTTAGCAGTCTGGCTTGGAAATGCTGACATTTATACCTCCTTCGCTCTTGTCCTCTTGAGATATTGTGTAATGCAGAATAGCAGAAAGGAAATACTGGTTTGTTTGATTATGATTGTGTGGGTTTGGAAATGTGGAACCTTGTTCTATGAATACTTCCACCACCTAAAAGGCTTTTTCCCCATGTCCAAGACCCTAGCCAGTCATTTGAACCTGTGTCTAAGACCTCCGGATTAGTTAGTGGTGACACCCCATATGTGAACTCTAGCATTTAGAGGCTGCCATCATGGTGAAGAAATGTTAGGGATTGAGAGAAATAGCATGCGCATTTTTCGCATCAAATTGTCCTGACCCCGCTAGTCGAGAGTGAGTGATTCATTTTCATATTCTATATACTCTTGTACCCCGGTGAGGACCTAGATTGCTCGGTCTCTATTCTGATGTCTTGAGTTGGATGCATGAGGTGACTGTTTTGAGTGAGTGGTTGAGTCAAGTCTAGGTTGGTTGGTGAACAGAAGGGAGACTCTTCCTTTACTCGATTTTGCTGCACTCGAATGTCCTTTGTGGTGGTTGTCCAGGTTGCTATTGAAGTTGTTCATGTGTTGGTGTTTGAAAACCAGTACGATTCACGTGTTCTGTGCCTATATGACTTGTCCCCAATGTTGGTATGATTGAAAATGTGAGCTTACCTTGTGTCTGACTTGGTTTGCTTGGGGACAAGCAAACGGTTAAGTGTGGGGGAGTTTGATAGACCGCTAATTGCACATGTTTTCACCCCTATTCTTGAGCCGTTTGAGGTGTTGATTCTCGTGTTTTAGGCCGATTTCACGCTAGGTTGTGCTTGTTTGTGATATTTCAGGTCCTAGTAAGTGAATGAAGGTTTAGGAGCGAGTTCGGGGTCGATTGGACGAAGATCGGGCGCGAGGCAAGTCGCTGAGGAAGCCACACGGGCACACACAAAACCCACACGGCCGTGCAAGTAACCAATGTGGCCGTGTGGGATTGTGCGAGCCTTCACACGGGTACAAATAAATTCCACATGACCGTGTGAAGGAGCAATGTAGCCGTGTGGAATTCTACGAGGCTTCACACGGGTAGACTGGGTGAGATACACGACCGTGTGACCCTGGCCGTGTAGGTAGCCTGAAGGGCAATTATTGGAAACGCGGCGTTTTGTGTCTCACACGGTCAACTGGGTATGCCACACGGCCATGTGGCCTGCCCGTGTGATCGGTTTCATCAAATCGAGCTTGGAGATCGTCATAGGAGTGGAAATCATCATCCCAGAGTAGATTCTTCCCATTGTTATGAGTATGACTGCTTTGTATCCTGTTTTCCTCTCTCTCTCTCTCTCTCTATGGAGTAGAACCCTTCTCTCACTTGGGTATGAAGAACCCTAGTTCCATGTGTTAGGGATTTGATTGTAATGACTTGGGATGATTATACTGTTTGGTTTTAATCGAATGATGCATGATTCATTGAATTGATTGAAGTCTGATCAGCTTTTCTTGATTTCTGCTGCAACCTGAGATAGATAGAATCTGATTAGGTTGTTAGAGCTTCTTCATTCGATAGTAGGAGATTGGTTATACGAGAGTTAGCCAGTTTACTGCTCTGTACTGGAATCCAATTCCAGTAGTGGAGTTCTGTGTTCATTGCTTCAGCTTTCTATCCCGGTGAAGACTAGTCGTCTGCCGGGTAGTTAGACTGAGAGGGCTTGGTCAGCTTAAGAGATTCCAAGCTACTGTCGGATCTTCCGCAGTCTAATCAATAGTAAATCAACCCAGGGTAATTACAATTGAACCTAATTGAGGAGCTAGGGGGACTCATTCCCGAGTGACTCTTCTTTGCTTGAGAAAACCGAACCATTTCCTGCTTTTTACTGCTTTTGCTTTAAACAACAATCACTCGACTTAGTTGGCTAGATAATAGATAATCACGGAGTAAGCAGTAGATCTAGATCCCGGGTTGATAATAGAACTTGCCTGTTACTGCATTCCCGGACTGCGATTACACTTGGTCGCAGTTTGGTGTTGTGTTTTGGCGTGTCAGGTACCTTCAAAAGTTTGTGGGGTTGCAGTTTCCGAATATGTTCCAGCAACGAGCCCGCAGCTACTGAGCTGAGTGACTCATTCCATTGTGCCCACAGTTGAAAATGCCCAGCAGCTTCCGCACTGTCCTTGGTCTTTGATCGGAGTGATGACTCCCTTCTTCCTCCAGTCCATGATGGTTGACACTCAACACACATTTTCATACCTAAAGGATCCTTCATGCGAGGAACACATGTGGCCCTTGAATCTGCACCTAGTGGTAATTACGCACTTAAGATATGTAAAATACATTCAACATTTACACACTTAACTATGCCCAAAATTTCGTCGCCAGAATTCGGCTACTGGTCGCCAGTCGCGCGAAATATGCTTAACGTAGCCGGAATATTCTCACCATCGCGGAAATCTGATTATCGTGGTTGGAATATGCTTACCGGCGTCGGAATCTAGTCATTGGGGCCAGAATATGCTTATCAGCGCAGGAATCCGTTCACCGGAGTTCGGTCAACGGTTAACGACCACCAGATGTTATGGTCTGCAATGTGCGATTTATAGTTTTCTTTCTCGTGTTTTTTGTTTGCCTTTTATGGTTTGCTTTGTCGTGTTTCTGGTTTGCATTAAAAAGTTTCTCGTGTGCTTTCAAAAACTTTGAGGTATGCTTTGCGAGATTTCTGGTTTGTTTTAATATATTTGTGGTATGCATTAGGACGTTTCTGGTTTGCTTTACTATGTTTGTGGTTTGCATTAGTAGGTTTCTGGTGTGCTTTCAAAAATTTTGTGGTTTGCTTTGTGGGGTTTCTAGTATGTTTTAGTGGATTTGTGGTATACAATAGGGGGTTTCTGGTATGCTTTTTGTGGTTTGTATTATCGCTTTTGTACTTTGCATTACGAGGTTTTTGGTGTGTTTTAGAAATAGTTGTGTTTTGCTTTGTAAGGTTTTTTATTTGTTTTAGGAGATTTGTGCTCTGAATTCGGAGTTTTATGGTATGATTTTCGTGGTTTGTTTTATCGTGTTACTTTACAAGGCAGTCATTTTCACATCGCCAATTGGGGATCATAACCAAGAGAACCAAAACTAACCTCACCATTACCCTTATAAACTACAAAGTACAAAGTGGTTGTGGACCTTAAGCAACAAACAGTTGACAGTGAGAGAAGAGACAAGAGGAAAAGAATGTCAAGTTTGGGTTAGATACATTGCATCAAAAGCACATAAACAATTACTCAATTAGAATGGAACAAAGTACTTGATACAACAGATTAATTGCTACTCGGTACTTTCTTCTCAAAGAACGAACAACAAGCTGAACAATAAACACTGATGCTCATCACCGTTGCGCTAGCCAAATATTTACAAAAAAAAACGACATCAACCTTCCACCGCCTTGACCCCACTCGTCTCTTCCCTCCAGTTCGACCCTTCCAAAACCGAACCCCTCCGCCGCCACATGCGCCTCCTCGTCCATGTCGGCTTCTTCACCATTAGTGTTACTAATCAACCAGCTAGTCCCTGATTTCTCTCTGCTTCTTGTAATCAGAAGCACAATCAATGAGCAAGAGAATGAGATTTGTGGTTTTGGATTGAAAGCGCTTTGGATTTTGGAGTTTCTATTATCGGCTTTGCGAATCTGGAACGGTGAGGGAGAAAGGAGAATGTGTAAGAGAAGCTGGACTACTGCAAGGTGTAATCGGGGACATCGCATTAGAGATGATCATCGTGGCGGCTATTTGTCGATACCTGGGAAATCGGCAGCAGTGATGGGATTCGTTGAATCAGAGATGTGATTGTTGATTCGTGCTTGTTGCATGAGAAGGACTACGGTTTGTTTGAGATCGGAGGAGGACGACGCTTCTACCGTCGGAGTCGAAAGAGGCGTTTCCGATGGCCAGCGGAGGAGGGGGAGTGTTGCTGTAGATCTCGTCGATGAGAGGGACAACCGGAATCTGGGGGAGGGTTGCGGAGTTACAGGACACGGAAGCTGGGAAGGGAAAATTTATATTGATTAAATTTCTATTTTGTTCAATTTACCCCTAGGGTGTGTTTGGATAGAAGGATTTTTACTTGGTATTTGTGATTTGGATTTTCAATTGCCAAATCATTTGTTTGGATATTAATTACATTTGGTATTTGGATTTGTGCCAAATTCATGGGTTGATTTCCAAATACATGTCTAGCGTATTACTTGTCAACTTCAAATACACTCCAATTACTAGTGATTTGAAATTCCTCCTAACTGTAATTTTCCAAATTTTATAGTAAGTGACCAAAAATTCAAAATTCAAATAAAAAATCTAAAATTCTAAAATACCAACTAATTACGAATGAGTAACCAAACAACGAATTTGAATTACATGTATTTCGGATACTAGTAATTGGCCTCGTTTGGTATATGTGATTGATAAAATTGATGTATTGTATGGATGCATGCATTATAAATTGATGTATTAGTTAAATGGTTGCATTTTAAGATTACAATGTTTGGTAGTTGTGATTATATTTGTAAGAATATAGTAGAAAATTCACTTTTTGAATGAAAAGTCACATTTACCCTTCCTTTTAGATATAAAAGTCAATCACATATAAAAGTTGATAAGGGCATAAAAGAGAAAAAAAAGTTGATTCACAATCTCAAAACATAATCTCAACAATCTCACCAAATAGTTGAGATTCTAAATCATTCATTTTGAATGATTTCAAATGTCACATCAACAATCAAATACATGCATTGTGTTTTATTTTGCAACAAAAAATGATGCATTCTCTATAATACATGCATTCATTAAATACATCATTTTGGCGTCATTTGGTTTTGGTGATACTTAAATCAATGCATTGTGGTCAATGCATGCATTGTAATATACATGCAATTAAGAAAAATAATGTAATGTACTTACATTGTTTGGTTTTGGTGATAGTTCTTTTAGTATTCAACATGTTATTTTACTTTTGTGAGAAATGTCACTTTTGCCCTTGCTTTTATGAGAACATATACATATAACTAGGGGTATACTTGAAACAAAAAGGAACCACAACAATCTCCTCAAAACTATCTCAACAATCTTAATAGTTTGTGCATAAAATTCAAAAAAACGATGCATTAACTACAAAAAAAATGGGGGTATGGCAAGGGTTTTTTCTACCTATACCAAGGGTTTTAACCCCTGCTAGCAATTGTAGCAAGGGTTTCGTCAACCCTTGCATGAACCCTCGCCAATGCTGCCCCTGCTATGTGTAGCAAGGGTTTTTAGCAACCCATGGTGTAAAGTCCTGTCCAAGGGTTGTAGCAGGGGTTTGAAACCCCTGCTATATGTATCAGGGGTTAAAACCCTTGCTACACTTCAGTGTAAAATTCACTAAGGAGATGTTTGTAGCAGGAGTTAAAACCCTTGCTTTGTTCGTCGCTAAATCAATTTTGCAACCGATTTTGCAACCAACCAAATATATTGCATTCGAAATATGCCTACCCAAACGGATCTTTGTACCCTTGTTACAATAACAACAAAAGAGGTGTTGTTATTCTCTCCACCCCTAATTTTAAGTTTGTGACAACAAAATCACAAGGAATGCGCTGCAACATAGTGGCAAAATACTTGTTTTAACTCTAAAGTGTTGGGTTTGATCCTATATATATTAATTTACTCTATGCATATTAATTTATGGCTTGCTTATATTTTTACCTAAAACTAGTTGTGTCTCATAACACACCCTTAAAGATTTTGGCTACACATACAATTAAGAGCGTCGTAAATTTTACTCTATGATCAAGAAATTTGAAATGTTTGGAAAACGGTTTATAACCCCAGTGGCCGGGAGATTCATGATCGCATAATGAAAGTTACACTATGAAACTTTAATTGATCATATTATTAGACTGACTCGTGCATGAATGGACGAGGCACTACGATGAAACTTGTTTAGAGCATAGTTGATCGATATGCAAATATATGAATGAACATATATGGTTCTTTCTTATTTCCCTCCTAGTTCTTTCTCAGGCTTTCACGCAGATCCTGTCCCCAGCCACCAGACGGTTGCAGTCCATATCAGGGTTCAAGTACTGCAGCTCTTCAAGGGACAGCTCAAAACTCCTCGCTATTTGATAGCAGCGATTGCTTGGTTTGACTTTGTAATACCGACTACACGTCGGCTCAACATCATCACCTATACCTGCACCTGCTCAATATTTTTATACCACACAACAAGATTGTGTGTTAAATTTAATCTCAAATTCCAAACTAAATTCGTTACCCCGATCCCAATCGCTAATTTTTTGTTCGGTATAAGGTGAAGGTACATACCAAATATCAAATTAAGTCTTTTGTACAATTACCAATAAAGTACTTCTCCTTTTGACCCCAGCTCCACAAAGCATTCTCAAAAAATATAACATCAAACAATGATACCAACATTGGTGCAAAAAATGGGAGGATACTCTCAATTATATATAATAAGAATAAACTAGCTAGAGAAATGTGGTGCCTAAGAAGCACATAAATAAACTAAAATAGCAAATTGAATTGAGGGACGACTAAGCATCTCATAAACATATTACTAGTAACTGAAATGAGTTTGGTATGAGTTGTCAAATAGTAAGATAATGAGTTATGTATAATTAAATGGTCATTTTGGACTTTTGGTGGTTGATGGTCTGCTAGCAATCAAGGAGGGAATTTAGTTGGGAAGGGCTAAAATACACTCTATCTTATATTTCAGCATTCGATATTAATCTCAATCCCATAAAATAATGTGTGTATTAGATAATATAAAATATCGATTAATTTTGTACAATATTCGATGTGTCTCAAATATCGATATCAATCTTCCAACCCTAAGAGAAATATATATATATATGAATACAGCATACAGCATACAGAAAACTTACTGTTAGTGATAAGAAAGAGGACCAGGAAAATGAGCATCAAGAACTTGTAATTAGCCTTGCCCATCATTATAGAAACAGACTTCTCCGCCTATTTGGACTCTCTTCTTCTTCTTCTTCTTTTTGTTATATTGACTGATGAACTTGTTAAGCAAAATCTCCTATTTATACTACTAGAGCCAAAGAATAAGCTATAAAAGTTAGCAATTTAATTTGATCCGTCCGTCTGTTTTTGTATTTATTGTTAAATTAAAAATTAGAATGAACATTCACTACGATTCATCCCATAAAAAT